AACCCTCATTCCATTTCCATTTTTCTGATTTTTTTTTTGCTTGTGTTTTCTTAAAACCACAAACCAGTCCTTGTGATTTTAAATGCATGTTCATCCAGCAGGCACCATGAGATCCGTGAAGATTTTCATCTACAGGAAAAAAGCGTATCTTAACATGAACTGGTGAAAAAAAGGTGGAAGGTAGCAAAAACTCAGGCTAGAGAGACAGTTTTCAGATTACATGAGTAATGAAACCCAAAATAACTTTAGAGAGATGTTAGATTTCGGTCATCTGAAGTCTTTAAATCATGAGCGAGCCTTTTTGTTCAACTACGTGGTGTAACTTAAACCAAACAGCAGTTGTTTAAGCTTTGAATTTTCACTATGAGCTACAGAAGACACCTGCTTGCTCAGCTTGAGGCGAATGGTGTGGTTGAGTGGAGAGCCTTGGGTTAGAACGGTGCGCTGCTTTCACTGTTTCTGTGGGTTTAGCTCTTAGTTCTCAGTCCCAGGTTCAAGAGCGAGCTACCTGCTGCGTTCTACTGACTGGCTGTTCACTGGCTGCTGCAACCTGCCCCGGCTTCTCTTCAGAAGAGGATGTTGTGGGTGGGTGTTTTGTCTGGTGGACCAGGGTGACGGGATGCTCCTGACCAGTGACCCCACTGTGTGCTGGTTGTCCTCTCTTCTCACCATCTTCAGTGTGCTTTGAGGTCACTCTGCAAGTGATCCACACAGACCTCAGGTGTTTTTCCAGTTACCTAAGTGCGTCCTTTCCCAGAGCAAATCTGGTGACGGGGATAATTCATTTCAAAACACATTTTCTGCAGTCTGCAATTGTACCTTTAAAGATGGGAGAATGTCTCACAATGAAGTCTTGCTCCGCACTGATAAAATATTTCATACTACTTCATTTTATGACTAAAAAGTTAAATTCTGTTTTTTGTCATCATGGTTGATAATAAGATTATAATGTTGGTATAGTCTAACAGTTTTTGTCAAGGGTAGTCCACCAATGCTACTAGAGAGTATAGTAGCAAGCACAAAAAGCACTAAAACCATATAAAGTTTTCTACAACAAACTTTGTACAAAAAAATCAATCTGTATCAAAAAAGCATTATTTACTTAATGATTTGTGACTGAAAAAAGCCACAGGAAAAATTGCCTTATTTCAAGAGGCAATCACGAAGGCTTGAAAGTATAGATAACCTCATTTCTCCACTCTCATTTTATCTGCTTTCTCTCCCCGAACTGGAAAACTGCTGCCATAACTGTATCTATTTCCTGTAGGAGCTATTAGTCAGTAGCATTACATCCGCTTAAACGTGATCACTTTTCTCAATGTTACTGATATGCTATTATCACGTAATATTGCTCATCCATCAGAGGTTGCCGTGTTTTCTGTGCTGACTGTGGAATAGAGGAGAGTGGAAGCGTCCTCTAAAAAAAAGTACAGAGATTCCAAAATATTTCAGTAATACTCTCTCTCTCTCTTATGTTACAGAGCACAAACTTCTCGTAGTGTATTTCAAGGTTGTGACACGAAATGTTTCTCTGCTTTGAATTCCTAAGCAAAAGCACTTTAACCATCAGTTTTGAGCGTAACCATCTCAATTCCTCTTTATTTAAATGGCAGATTTAATATAAACTCCATCTGGCTTCCATAGGAAGCTTGCACAAGTCTTTGGAAATTGATTTTTTTTTTTTTTTTTTTTTTTTCACAAGGAACTGTGGCCAGGATTAGAACCTCTTCCTCCTTGCCAGATGGCAAGTTTATTGAATCTGGTTTTAACTTACTAGGGCTTAAAGGAATGAACACAGCTCGGACAAGTCACTGCTACGTTTCTACTTCAAAGGTCTCCTTCAAAATCAGCCTCTAAAGATTTATATGCAGAGCGTGGCTGTGACCTGGGTAGTCTGTTGTGAACCTCTCATCTCTTTCAGTGGTTGAAATGGAGTTAGAGTGACACAAAGCACTTCACAAAATCCCTGTAATTTCCAGATCAGCAGCGTTGGGCGCATCTTGTTACATGGCTAAATCAAATTTATAGGTTGTTTGGTTCTTTTTTTTTTTTACTTTTACTAGCTAAGTTTCTACAGTGTTGTAAAGTCTCTTCACTTGAAATACTTGTTTTCTAAGTAAAACATGAAAGTATGTCAGATCCGCTGGTATCACTTAAAACTATCCTTAGGTGCTATCCTTAATATAGAAGTATGTTCTGTACCAAAAACTAATGTGTTTGATGGACAGAACTTAGTTTCATCAGCTTTTAGGTTTGAATTGGGGAGAAGATGATCTTGCTTCTACTTAAATTTCTTACAGCAACTTTCCCTAATTTTTGAAGCGGCTTTTATGATTGTGAAAAACATTTCTGGTTAATTAGCGATGCAAATTCCAAATTATTTTATGAAGGAATCCCCCTCTCTTCTCAAAATACAAAACATTGTTTTGCATTTCTGTTATCTACACAGAAATAAAATTTTTATATTACAGGATTTTTTTCCCCTTGTTTCTGAGAGTGGAGAAGACTGCTCCTGTGAATTCATGCCAAAGAATTTCAGAGAGTCTGCAGCACAAATACTAATTTTTTCTTTCAAGTGCAGAGCAGTCAGGATGCTGACCTCTGCTGAGGTGTAGTTGCATGCAAAGTTTGAAACGCTTAAGTGGCAATGTGTGTCATAATTATTCATATGCATTATTAAACATGACTGTACATACTAGAAAGCAGTGTGTGCCCAGATTTGTGGAGCAAAGCATATAAAGATTAACACTTGTTTAAGACAAGGAAATAAATGATTACAACTCATAATAATCCATTTTTTCCCTTTTCCAGTTTCACACTTTACACATTCACACTGTTTATGTATACTGTATTTTCTATATGCTCCATTTATTGGAGGTGACTTCATGTCTCTGCTACGGTGCCCGTTCTTGCAGCACGTGATGCGTTTGTGATGCTGAGCACACAGCATCGCTCACATTAGAACTGTTTGTCCCTGTCTTAGAAATAAGGAAATAAATAAATATTCCTCTGTCCTGTTGCTAGTATTGTATAAGCCTCATTTGTATGCATCAGTGGGTTAAATGTCATTTTTAAGTCTTAAGCAGCGAATTTTCAGTGTTGAATTTCATGTGAGGAAGTTATTATTAATTCTAGAATCAAGATTTTGTAGAAAATACCTGAGGGAGATCTGTTTGCCTGCACTGGGAATGGGCCTGCTATTGGGATATCGCCTTATCTCTCTTGTTAACGAACCAGTTTGTTAGGACTTCTAGCAATGGGTATCCATCAGGTTTTCTGGCACTTCAAAAAAGACAGAGAGGGGGACAGGAAAAATATTTGAAATTTATTATGAATGTTCAGGAATCTAACATACAAAAAAGATAGTGAGAGCACCAGAATCAGAAGTAGTAGTTTTCTTCCAGACAAAGGATGTCAGGAGTTAATGCTTTTCTAAAATTCTCAAAAAGGTTATTGTTGGCTTCCTTCTGAATTAATTACTTTGGCGCTAATTCACCTACTGTATTCCTCTACCACTTTATTCATATATTGCAAAGTATATGTAGAAAAAGTTATGGGACTCTGTAAACCTCGGGGATGTAATTGCATCCAGGGATACTGATGATGTCATGAATTGTTGCAAGGTACAGTGGTTTCTGTGGGATCTCCAAATAAAATTAGAGGTCTCTTGTTTACAGTTTGTTTGCAGTCTTCTCCATTCAGTAGAACAGTGTATGGATCCAATAACAAAAAATAAATACGTGCTGTAGCCTGATGCTATTTTGAAGATGTTTTGGCATTATAGCCCTAATTGTACTGCTGTATCCCAGTTGTATCTGGCTTGAGTTAAGCTAAGATAGTCTTATATTAGTAAGATATGGAAACTGTTGTTATTTTCATTTGTTCAGCAGAAGTGTGAGCCTTTTATATGCCTTACTCCTTATCAAATCAGATTAAATGATGCAAAATTCTGGAATATGCAAGTATTCTTTTGTATGGGAGTAAGTATTGGCTGTCAGTGCAGGTGAAGTACGAGAGTGGCAGTTCCAGTATTTCAGTGCGTGTGCACGAGTGCAAGGAGCATCACTTTGTACTTTCCTTGCTTGTGAAGCGCTCCACTCTGATCATATCTGCAAGCAGTAGAATCGGAAGGGAAGCATTGGAAAGGGGGTAGAGAGGCCACTGCAGAGTGACCTGGTGAGATGAGATCAGCTGGAGGAGCAGGCACCAAGGGCAACTTGAGCCCTACTAAATGTAAATATCTGCAGTGTTGGGGTGTGGAGGGGTAAAATTGGAGAAGAACACTGGGTCAGTCACAGCCATTGTATTAAAAATAAATGTACGTTTCCCTCCCCACTTCAGACAAGTCGGTTCTCTGCTTTCCCATCTGTCATATTTTAAATACGTATAAGACTTTCATATCAATTTTATTTAAACAACTCCCATTTGCTATACCAAAAGTATCACGCTGGCCTGGACTCCAATGTAGGAGAGGTTTTACGTAATCCAAGGAAAAGTATGTGATGCGTTTCTGTGTTTTCTCTCAGCAGAGGGTATGTTTGGGTTTCTAAAGTGTGCGATTTCATCAAAGGGTTTTTCCTTCTTTGAATATTATCTGTGAGATAGTGGAATTACACTAGCCGAAAAGCCGAAAAGCTCCGGATACAGACTGAAGTGAAATTTGGCAAGCAGAGCTTCATTAAGCGTTCTGCTTAAACTGGGCCATGTTTACAGCAAAGAGGTTTTGCTTTCAAAAAGCAGATGATTTTCGTAACTTGAGCGTAAACTATAGGCCAAATTTTTGGTGGCTATAAGTCCCTGGCTTGAGTGCAGTAAAACTATACTGATTTACGCCAGATGAGGATGTGCCTCTTTCCACACTTTCCACATCTTTTTTAATGCTTCTTTAATCCTTAGAGAACGAAGCCTCTGGATCTTTGGAAATGTATCTCTTAAGAAAATGCCACTGCAAAAACTATTTAACTGGGAGCACCTCTCCTCTTGTGTGCCTTTCTTTGCAGCTACCTTTGGTCTCTACTTCCCCAGGAAAGAGTACTCGGAGAATGTCTACATGGATCAGCCAGCAGGTACCCCGCTCCTGCGCATCCACGCCTTGAGAGATTCGCATGGGGAGGTGGCCCGCTTTCATCTGTGCCAGAATCTCATCATTTCTCGAGCAAGATCCCTTGCAAATAATTGGTTTCAAATCAGAGAGAAAACAGGGCTTCTCTACCTCAGCAAAAGCCTGGATAGAGAAGACTTTAACATGCTGCGTAAGTATGGGAAGACTGGCTTGTCTTGTTTGTTAAACCAAAGTACATTCAGATCATGAGGTTTATCCATCAGCATACAAGCATGAAATTTGGAAAAAACCCATCTGCCCTTTTTAAAATGAGAAACCAGACCCAGCGAAACCCGCAGCAAATGCAATGAACCATATGCCAAAGCAAGTGCTGACCTGATCTGGTTGCTCGCACTGTGGACTCAATATGGTGGGAAAGTTGCATTACTTGACATATTTTTTTCTGCATTACTCAGCTGTATAAGTCATAGCTTTACACTGAGATCTGCAGTTTGCTCATCTACTAATGCAAATCAAGCCAATTCCACTGTGTTAATTCTGGGCGTTTAGTGCCCAGACCAATGTTGGACTGGGTAGTCCAACAACTAAACCAGTTGGATTAGTTCAAGCTCTGATACAAACAGTCCTTGAGCTCTGGTGACATGGTTTCGCAAAGTACGTTTGCACGTAACGCCAAACGGCTCTTGGAAGAAATGGTTAAGTGTATCCCTCTCCCTCTCTTGAGGTTTGACTTTGTTAGAGAACCTTACGATTAAACTACAGAAATTAGTTATCTCAGGTTTTTCCCTTTCTTTTATGCTCTAGCAGTAAATTGGTTTTTGGTGATTTTGATCTATGAGGAAATTAGGTATCATTAGATGGTGAAGCAGGAAATGGGCGAGGAGTTAATGGCATACCGCTGTGATCAGTTGCAGAAATTCTGCTGTTGGAGAGAGTCTGTAGTAACTGTCCAGAGTTTGCAAGAGCCATATATCAACACTACCCTGTGACTGAGGTGCCTCGATGTTTCAGTGTTCAACTTCAGACACTTACTGCTTTATTTTTTAAGTGCTGAGTGCCTGATTTGTCACCCATTTTCAATGCATTTTTGGTACTTGGTGTTCGTGAATATCAGATAGCTATTTGTAGCTGAACAAAGAATAGCCACCCAGAACCTGAGGGTCTTGTTTTGTTCATATGGATCAAAGTGACCTAGTTTTCAAGTGAATAAGGTCTGTTACAGAGATGCTATCATTCTGTCTGCAGTCAAAGCAAGGTAATCAAAATAATTAAGGCTCGAGGCTGTATTAGTAGATGCCACAGGTTGATTTTAACTCCTATGTTATCTTTTGACCAGCTCTTTATATTTCAAAATGATGAAGCAATTTGTCCTCCAGGCATAAACAATTTGGGCGTATCCTCAACTGGCATAAGCTGTCAGAACACTGTGACTTAAAGGACAGCTAGCAGTTGCTATGGGTCTGTCCTGAATATTTATTGCCATTTTGCACACTTTTTTCCCTGCTGCCACCCCATGCTGCTCTAGTCCCCCGAAAAAGCAGTCCTAGCAAAAAGCTGATTACTGTTAGTGGCGTGTTTTGTGTCAGTGTCTTACAGACAGAACGCTGGCATCGTTCTGTGAGGTTCTACCATGTAAAATTGAGGGTAAGACCTATAGTTTTTTGGCTTGTTGGTGTTATTAAGACTATGTTATTAAGAGTAAGATTTAAAGTCTTCCAACCAGCAGATAACGTATTCAAAAATTGTTATATTACATAATAGGAGTATATGGTTGGTTGTGGAGTAATGGACTAGAGCACAAAATGGGTAAAAGAAATGCTGGCTTGTCTTCTATAAAATATTTCTTCTGGTGTTTTTTGTCCTGAAGCTGTAGGAAACTGGATACCATTATCAAAGGTGGTGCTGTATGTCTTCCTTTCATCCCACCCTTTCCAAGAGAAGGAATGCGACTCTGCGATGCGCACCACTGTTTTCCTCTCCTTGATCAATGCTACTGCACCAGCTTGCGGTTCCCTGACAGCAAGGCAGCTTTGCTTCACAGAAATGGATCTCTCCTTTCACATCAAGGAGAATAAACCACCTGGCACATTTCATCAGCTCCAGTTACCCTCAGTTCATCATCTGTGTCAGAATCTCAGCATTTCCTACAAACTGCTGTCAGGTAAAACTGGAACTCAGCTGCTCACGTACCAGCAAGAGATGTAACCAACTGCACTGCTAAGATCTCTTTTGTAGTAGATCCTGTAGGTTGATTCCATAAAAGAAATTCCATTGCAAACATGAACTGAGCCTGAAGATTTTGCCTTTGATACACAGAGAGGATGGGAAGGAGGACTGTCCCTTAAGGAAAAAAGATTGGGTTTAGAAGTTTGCACCTGCTAAGATCAGATCTGGAATATCCTGAGCTTTAAATTGTGCTGCTTCTAGACTGTAGGATCTTCCCATCTGTTCTGTTTTCTGCCTACCCTAGTATCACCCCACAACCTCCTTCTCTTTCACTTCTGAGTCTGCCTTTTATTACGCAGTCACGATGTCCAAATGGATTTACTGGACTGCAAAAAAGTATTAAAGAAACAAACAAAAAAAAAATCAGCGTCCTATAATGGGAAGTGACTGTCCCTATTTATGCTGTGGCTGTGTTTTTCAGCTGAAGGCGTGCCCTTCCGATACAATGAGAACACCACTGGCGTGAGTGTGACGCAGCGCCTGGATCGGGAGGAGAGAGAGCGATACGAGCTGATTGCCAAATGCACCGTGAGAGAGGGCTTCAGGGAAATGCAGGTGGAGGTGCCTTTCCTGGTGAATGTATTGGACGAGGATGACTCTCCTCCCTTCCTTCCCAATGGCACCGATACCGCAGACGCTGTCGTGGAGTTCAGC